GTGAGGAGGGTGAGGAAGGTGAGGAAGGTGAGGAGGGTGAGGAAGGTGAGGAAGGTGTGGGGGTGAGACTGAGAAGGATGAGCAGAACAAGGAATGTGATAAAGCTGAGCAGGCTGAGGAAGATGAAGAAGCTGAGGGAGCTGAGGGAGCTGAAGAAGCTGAGGAAGGTGATGAAGATGAGGAAGACGAGCAAGGTAAGGAGCGTGAGGACGATGAGGAGAATGAGGAGGCTGAGAAAGATGAAGAAGCTGAGGAAGGTGAGGGAGCTGAGGAAGCTGATGATGAAGATGATGAAGCTGAGCAGGCTGATGAAGCTGAGGAAGGTGATGAAGCTGAGGAAGGTGATGAAGCTGATGAAGCTGAGGAAGGTGAGGAAGCTGATGAAGGTTAGGAAGGTGATGAAGCTGAGGAAGCTGACGATGAAGATGATGAAGCTGAGCAGGCTGATGAAGCTGATGATGATGATGAAGATGATGAAGGCCCCACCTCGGATGCAGCGCAGGCGCAGTTCGGGCTCCAGCCCCCCCTGGACGATGGCGAACAGGAGCTGCTGCTGCGGGCGGGCGTGAGCGGCCACACAGCGATCCAGCCAGCGCACCGACCTGGGCAGGGGGCACAAAATGGGTCTGGGGGCGTCCCTGGGGGTCTGGGGGGGTCACACAGCGATCCAGCCAGCGCACAGACCTGGGCAGGGGGCACAAAATGGGTCTGGGGGCGTCGGGGGGGTCACACAGTGATCCAGCCAGCGCACAGACCTGGGCAGGGGGCACAAAATGGGTCTGGGGGCGTCCCTGGGGGTCTGGGGGGGTCACACAGCGATCCAGCCAGCGCACAGACCTGGGCAGGGGGGAAATGGGTCTGGGGGCGTCCCTGGGGGGTCCCAGGGCGTCTCAGGGCGTCTCAGGGGGTCTCAGGGGGTCTCTGGGGATCTCAGGGGGTCTCAGGGGGTCTCTGGGGGTCCCAGGGGGTCCCAGGGGGTCCCAGGGGGTCTCAGGGGGGTCCCAGGGGGTCCCAGGGGGTCTCGGGGGGTCCCCACCTGTCCATGGCCTCCTGGACTCGCGGGCCCGTGGTTGTGCTGCTCACGACATCGTCCAGCTGCATCACGATATCAGCGCCTGGGGGGCGGGGAGGGGTCAGGGGGGGCTCCCCCACCCCAGGGGGGGCTCCCCAATTCCTGGGGGGGTCAGGGGGGCTCCCCAATTCCTGGGGGGCCTCCCCAATTCCTGCGAGGGGTCAGGGGGGGCTCCCCCACCCCCAGGGGCGTCAGGGGGGTTCCCAGGGGGATCCCAGGAGGATCAGGGGGTCCCCCCAGGCTCCCCCCACCCTTCAGGGGGGTCCCAGGGGGTCCCAGGAGGGTCTCAGGGGGGTCCCAGGGGGTTCAGGAAGGGTCTCAGGGGGTCCCAGGGGGTTCCAGGGGGTTCCAGGAGGGCCCCAGGGGGTTCCCAGAGGGTTCAGGAAGGGTTTCAGGGGGTCCCAGAGGGGTCCCAGGGGGTTCAGGACCCCCCTCAATCTCACCCAGCGCGTTCTGGATCTCCATGGATCTCTCGGGGCTCAGGAAGGGTCTCAGGGGGTTCGGGGGGTTCAGGAAGGGTCTCAGGGGGTCCCAGGAGGTCCCAGGAGGGTCCCAGGGGGTCCCAGGGGGTCCCAGGAGGGTCTCAGGGGGTCCCAGGGGGTCCCAGGGGGTCCAGGACCCCCCTCAATCTCACCCAGCGCGTTCTGGATCTCCATGGATCTCTCGGGGCTCAGCAGGATCCTCTCCCCGCCGTGCGGGGGCTGGAACCGAACCCCCTCCTCCGAAACCTCCGCCAGCTCCAGCAGAGAAACCATCTGGAACCCTCCGCTGTCCTGCGGGGACCCCAAAAACGGCGATGGGGGAGGGGTCCCGACCCCCCCAAAGCCCCCAAATTCGGGGGGGCCCCCCCCCCCCCCCAATTTCTCACCGTCAGGAGGTTGTGAGGCCAATCCATGAACCCGTGCAGGCCCCCGGAGCGCCGGACCAGCTCCGCGCCCTGCGGGGATGAACGGAGAGCTCGCCGACACCGCCGGGAACGTCCCGGGACCCCCCGGTGCCGTTCCCGGTGCCGCTCACCGGCCGCGTGCCCAGGTGGAAGGTGTTGCCCAGGCAGATGCGGCAGCCCAGCGCCGCCAGCTGCGCCGCCGTCAGGCCCTTGGCGGTGCCGCGGGTGCCCACGGGCATGAAGACGGGGCAGGGCACGGTGCCGTGAGGCAGCCGCAGCTCCCCGGCCCGGGCGCGGCTCCGCCCGCACTCGGCCACGATCCGCAGAACCGGCACCGGGGAACCCGCGCTGGGCGCCGCCATCTTGGAGCGCGTGACCGGAAGGGGCGGTGCCGGCTACAGGAAGTGACCGTTACCAGGGTAACGCGGGGGCCATGTTGGGCCTTGTGGGGTTTGGGGGGGAGCGCCCGGGACCGGAGACGCCCGAAGACCCCGCGGAAATCGCCCGAAATCCACGGAGACCCCTCCAAACCCGGACAGGGCAGGGAGCGGAGCCAATTCCTGCCGGTTCCGGTCCCTGCAGGGGGGAAACCCAGGAGGTTCCCGGGCCGTTCCAGCCCCGGCGCTTCGCTTCGGGACTCCCGTTCCCCGTGAGCGAACGCGCGACGCTCCACGGGCACGGCAGGGCCGCCAAACACCGGAAGAGCCAACGGGCGAGAAGGAACGGCTGATTGATGCCTGGCCGATTAATTGCGGGAGGGTTTTTCCCTTGGCTAAGGTTCCCGTCACGGTTGCATTGGTCGGGTTGGTGGGAGCGGCGGGCAGGGCGGAGAAGGGCGGGCTCGCGGGGCGGGGCGGGCTCGCGGGGCGGGGCGGGCTCCCGGTGCTCTGCGGGCCGCCATTGGGCCTCGCTCCTGAGGGGAACTCCCGCTCTCCAATGAAATGGCGGAAACGCCGCGGGAGGGCGGGACCACAGCGCCGCCGCCTCAGCCGACGCAGCGGCGCCTCCTCCCATTGGCTGCGAGGGATGAGCGACGGGCGGGCGGCCAATAGAGAACGGGCTTTGGCTTCCCCTTCCCGCCCCTCTGCGGTGATTGGCAGCGCTCTGCTCCTATCAGCTCTGCGCGCTGCTTTGATGGACGGCGCAGCCGGCCAATGGCGGCGCGCGCTGAGGCAGCGGGGCGGGCCCGGCGGTGCCGGATGAGGAGACTCTGAGGGGAAGTTTGGCCGCCGCCGCCGCCGCGGGCCCCGTGAGGAGGAGCCGCCGCCGGGAGCGCGGGCCCGGCACCGCCGCGCCGCCATGGGCAACCGGGGCATGGAGGAGCTCATCCCGCTGGTCAACAAGCTTCAAGACGCCTTCAGCTCCATCGGGCAGAGCTGCCACCTCGACCTGCCGCAGATCGCCGTGGTGGGCGGGCAGAGCGCCGGGAAGAGCTCGGTGCTCGAGAACTTCGTGGGCCGGTGAGCGGCGGGAGCGGCGGGGAGGGCGGCGGCGGCGGGCCGGGGCGGCGGGAGCGGCGGGCGGAGCCGCGGGCGTAGAGCGCGTTCGGGAATAGCGCCGGTGGCGTAAGGGCGCGGCCGCGGAGCGGGCCCGGAGCTGCGCCAGCGGCGTACGGGCTGCGCAAACGGCGTAAGGGCCGCGACGGGGGCAAAGGGACCGGGAACGGAACGGGACCGGGGAACTCTACGGGACCGGGGAACTCTACGGGACCGGGAGTGTGGAGCTTAACGGGACCGGGGACGAGGAACGGAACGGGACCGGGAGCGGGGAACTCAACGGGACCGGGAGTGGGACCGGGAGTGTGGAACTCAACGGGAACGGGACCGGGACCGGGGAACTCAACGGGACCGGGAGTGTGGAACTTCACGGGACCGGGACCGGGGAACTCAACGGGACCGGGAGTGGGACCGGGAGGGTGGAACTCAACGGGAACGGGACCGGGACCGGGGAACTCAACGGGACCGGGAGTGGGACCGGGAGGGTGGAACTCAACGGGAACGGGACCGGGACCGGGGAACTCAACGGGACCGGGAGTGGGACCGGGAGGGTGGAACTCAACGGGAACGGGACCGGGACCGGGGAACTCAACGGGACCGGGAGTGGGACCGGGAGTGTGGAGCTTAACGGGACCGGGTCCCGGTCCGTGTTCGGGTCCAGTTCCGGGTTTGGTTCCCGGTTCAGATCCCGGTTCTGTGTTCGGGTCCAGTTCCGGGTTTGGTTCCCGGTTCAGATCCCGGTTCCGTGTTCGGGTCCAGTTCCGGGTTCGGGTCCCGGTTCCGGGTTCAGATCCCGGTTCTGTGTTTGGGTCCAGTTCCGTGTTCGAGTCCCGGTCCCGGGTTTGGGTCTCGGTCCCGGGTTTGGGTCCCGGTTCCCGGTTCAGATCCCGGTTCTGTGTTCGGTTCCGTGTTCGGGTCCCGGTTCTGTGTTCGATTCCGTGTTCGGGTCCCGGTCCGGGCGGTCGCTCCGTGCTCCGGACGCGGTTCCCGGTCTCCCCCCGCCCCACCGGAGCCTGCCGGGATCCCCCGGGAGCACCGAGCGGCGCTGGGAGCCTTCGTCCCCACCCTCGGCATCCTCCCGGTGCGGCTGCGGCCCGAGATAGCGCCGGGACGGGCCCGGGACCGAGCGGGGCTGCCCCGATAAGGGCTCCGAGCTGAGGAGTCACCCCAAAAACCCAAAAAACCCCAAAAAACCCCAAAAAACCCACCCAAAAAACAAAAAAACCCCAAAAACCCACCCCCAAAAACCCCAAAACCTCCCCAAAAAACACCAAAAACACCAAAAACTCCCCAAAAAACAAAAAAAAACCACCCAAAAACCCACCCCCAAAAACCCCAAAACCCCCCCAAAAAATCCCCAAAAACCCACCCAAAAAACACCAAAAACCCACCCAAAAAACAACAAAAAAAACCCCCCAAAACCCACCCCCAAAAACCCCCCCAAAAAAACCCAAAAAACCCACCCAAAACACCCCCAAAACCCCAAAAC